TGAAAGGGCGAGCATGTTTGGTGGGATGGGGATCCGAACCCGCGACCCTCAAATTGCGAGTCTTAACCACCTGGCCATGCCGGGCCATGGTTGAAGTGAAAATAATTGTATTAAATTTAAAGTAAAAATTAACATCAACACAATACCATGCACGATGTTGTCTAGACCGCCACGAACAGAATCGTTATGAAACTACAGTTTCGCTGTGCTTGTTAGGACTAAGACCCAAACCCCCACAAACAATACCTGAAACTGAACCAAAATCACATAAAATGATAACGTAGTTCATAGATTGAACTTATGAATACTATGTGTGTCGTATCCCATCTGGACTGATGAGCCTTGATATAATAGTACTGGATATAGGATACTGGTATGGTTGATTTATTAATACACAAGTTCTTAGTATTAAACTCAAAAATATAATGGGAAAACACTCACTTGATAACACTTACTGCATACACCAAAATGATGATATTAGTAGGTGAGGAAAAACAACAAAAGTTTTATAAAGTTATCGCACACACACACCAAAGGGAGAATCTTAGTGGGTGAGGAAAAAACAACCTCCCTTTGGTGTGTGCCGATAACTTTATAAAACCTATGTTGTTGTTGGATCTTAGTGGGTGAGGAAAAAAAACAACAACAACATAGGTTTTATAAAGTTATCGCACACACCAAAGGGAGAATCTTAGTGGGTGACGAAAAACAACAACAACAACAAAGGTTTTATAAAGTTATCGCACACACCAAAGGGAGAATCTTAGTGGGTGAGGAAATAAATGAGTGATTCTGTATACACTTATTTAAGCTAACAAGTGAGGATTTTTTATTGAGGTTATAATCTAATCTATAGCTTCATTTATTTGAACATTAAAGTTTTTACTGTCAAAATGATCACGAGTTTTTATGTACATATGCAAGTGAGGGTCTCATTACTGCTTTAAAACACAATCACAGAGAAAGTGTATTTCAGTAAAATGTGGCGACAATCATTGATTAAACGCACAAAGTCGTTTCTAGGAAAACGTGTCTTGCTGCAATCGTTACGTTGTTTAACACTTGTAAGGATGTACCGACTTGAAGTGTTTGGATGTGTTAAACTGTTGGAAACACTCCTTTCTAAGGATCGCAGTTTCAAGCAATTAATCAAGAACATCTGCTCGTCGTTACGCCTCCTGGTGGGAACAGATATTGCGAAAACGTTTTCTTGTCTACGAATCTGTTCAAGCTGTAGCTCTGTGATAAAATGTCTTACGAGTTAGTCTAACATTAGTATGATATGTACAGTTATAAAACACCTGCAATTTGTGGCACTGGTTAGTCCAACACTAATGTGATATCTACATAACAATAATACAAAAACCATTAAAACTGAACAATAGTTATTAACATTACCAACCCACAACAATACAAGAATCATTAAGACTGAACAATAATTATTAACATTACCAACCCACACACAACAATACAAGAATCATTAAGACTGAACAATAGTTATTAACATTACCAACCCACAACAATACAAGAATCATTAAGACTGAACAATAGTTATTAACATTACCAACCCACAACAATACAAGAATCATTAAGACTGAACAATAGTTATTAACATTACCAACCCACAACAAGTACAAACTATTTCAATCATTTTCCATCAAGCTTACTTTAGCACGGCTCTAAATAGTTATGTATGATGTAATTTAGTTTTTAGCATGACCCACGTCAAGAGAAACAAAACTGAAACCTTAACGACAAGAGGCATTACGATGCTAAGCCAATTGAGTCTGGTCTTTCTGTAAGGGACACCACTTAGATGAACGTAGCCTAATGGGTTTATCAATTACTTCTGACTGGATGAAATGCTCCAGAAGTTTCTGGATAATTTCACTGATGGTACGAACCTAGTTAAATTAGAATGATCACTCACTGTTAGAAATAATTCCAGCAGAAACACAGAACATTAGTTTTCCATTACGCATCATCAACATAAAAACCTGAGGATCAGACAATGAACCAAATGTAGATAGAAAATGGCCAATGTGATGGGTTTGTTTGTTTCTATAACAAAGCTATAATGGGCTACTTGCTGTGTTCACCACGGGGAATCGAACCCCTGATTTAAACTTTGTAAATCCGTAGACTTAATGCTGGCAGGCGGCAATAAAAGATGGACGGACAGACAGATAACTGAATAAAACTCTTTGAAACATTCTTTCACTTCATCTCAATTGGTGCTACTGTTACCACAGCAACGTTGGCAGTTGGTCTCCCTGCTCCAATAGGATGGTCATCTGTTTGATCTCCACGCTCCAATAGGACAGTCAGTGGTTGGTGTCCCTGCTCCAATAGGATGATCAGCAGTTGATCTCCATGCTCCAATAGGATGATCAGCAGTTGATCTCCATGTTCCAATAGGGTGGTCAGTGGTTGATCTTCCTGCTCTAATAGGATGGTTAGCAGTTGGTCTCCCTGCTCCAATAGGATGGTCATCTGTTTGGTCTCCCTGCTCCAATAGGACAGTCAGTGGTTGGTGTCCCTGCTCCAATAGGATGACCAGCAGTTGATCTCCATGCTCCAATAGGATGATCAGCAGTTGATCTCCAAGCTCCAATAGGGTGGTCAGTGGTTGTTCTTCCTGCTCCAATAGAATGGTCAGCTATTTAGAAAAGCTGTCAGCTCTGAAGAGCGTGATAAAATTCCTCGTTACGAAATGGTCCTCGACATTAGCATTCTGGAGAATCCTTTGACTTGAGACACAACGTTTCGTGTAAATTACAGCAAGCCCAGAGTACGCTGATTCACGTAAAGAAATGATCAATTTTCCCTTATTCTGTGTTTCTTTATTTTACCTTCTCCTATCACGTCTCCTAATCCGTGAGGCTTATCTCCTACTTCCATGCAACAATAAATGTTGTGGTCACCACGTTTTCATGAAATTCAACAAAAGTTCACAGACGCAGCTTTTACGTTTTTGAACTTTATAACAACGTCTCGACCACAATAGACGACAGTTCACCTGATAATGACCATACGAAACGTATGACCTTGAATCAACACTGACCCGACTAGTTATTAATCAACACAAAATATGTTTAACAGATACCGAAGTCGTTTACCCTTATAAAACCAGTAGATAACACACGATAATAGTTACCTTTAAATCCTCAATTTTCCTGCTCTATCTCCCTTACTTGTGTACTCACCATGATCGTCAGAGTTACAGATGATGTGTTCTTTCATGTGGTGGGATGTGTGGTTGGGCTCGGGAAATGGCTCGTGCTTCATCCAGAAGGCCACGGTAAAGTTGTCCGTCAAGTTATGGTTTAATATCGTTTCTGGGACCACTACGCTCGTAGCACCATCGAATTCGTAGATCTGGTCACTCTCGCGGCCTTCATCCATCGGGAGGTTTCTGGTCCACGTAGCCCCGAGTTCAGGTGTTGGGAGAAGGTCGACACTTTCAGTGTTGGCACCTGGTGACATATAAGTTTTATTAAAAATTCAGAAAATACAACATACAGTTAATACAGAACTATTAACATAGAGACAATTACAAGAAATTGTCACTGTAGTTGCAATAGTGACCACTAGGTGGAGAAGGACCACAAACTATCGCGAGAAAGCAGATAACATTTGTTTGTTTGTTGCTAAGCGCAAAGAGCTACATAATGGGCTATCTGTGCTCTACCTGTCACGGGTATCGAAACCCGGTTTTTAGCATTTTAAGCCTTCAACTTACGTTGAGCCATTGGAGGACAGGCAAGTAACGTCAAATTGTCTTAAGCTTGAACGTACATATTTTTGTTAATTTTTGCTTGTTTCTGCACAAAGCGACACAATGGGCTATCTACGTTTCGTCCTCCGCGGAGAATCGAGCCCCAGATTTTACCGATGTAAACTGATATTACAAGTGTTTTGGTTATCATGACCTTCCTAAGCCAAGCGAATGTTATTATTAATTGACTTCAGTATTAATTGGTTTGCTTCAGATATTCAAGTAAAGCTACACAAGGGCTATCTGCCCTAATCGTGCCCATTTTTAATCTAACAAACTAGAGAGAGAAGGCAGCCAGTCAACAGTATCCACTGCAAACTTTTGGGCTACTCTAATCCAATATTGGGGTTTGACTGTCACTATTAAAATGCACTCACCTCCCTATTTGGGGGCAACGTATTGCAAATCATGGATTAGAGGATCTATAGTCCGGCATGCTAAATCTTGGGCCACACCCGGCTAGTACCTAGTTAATAAGGTGTGTTTGCTTCTGGCCAGGGGTATGTTACATTTGTCTTTCGCAAGATAAGCAACAAATTAAAACATAACATAGATATCAAATTAATTGAAACGTCCATGTTGAAAAATATACTTGTGTAATCATGTCAACTCCACCATCATGTCCTGGTGATAATATTAAAACCTGTGCTGCTGAAGTAGTGTGGTAAAGGTACAATAAAACCTGTCGTGTATCGTTGTGTCCTCATACACAGACAGACCGACCAAAGACTGAATATTAGAACACGTTAAATCTGTAATCACAAGGTCACGACCAAACCTGCAGACCTTCATTATTCTAAACAGCAACAAAGAGAGCGAGCGTTTTCTAGATTCTTTCAATATGTACATTTACAAACAGTAATTGATGTAGAGTGGAAGCTATTAAAGCTCAGGGTCTTGGCTCAGAAATAAACACTGAACCAGCTGGTGAGTATTAAGTACATAGATCGTTCATATATGTTTTATACGTACTTACAAATATCACTGACTACACCTATATAAATATAATAGTACTGTCTGTCCATGTAATTACTTCTCAGGGTGCGGACGTGTCTTCACCAAAATTGGTTTGGAGGCTCATTGGGTCCACGGAGAGATACATACAAAGTATCGAAACCCGGATTCTAGCGTTGTAAGTCCGCAGACATACCGTTGTGCTACTGGGGGGGGGGGGGCACATAATTTTGAACACACACACAAACTTCTTAGTTTAATCTAAATCGGTAAATCATTAGGCATATAAAACGAAAGCGTTTACGTCTCCTCATTACGTCAGCTAACCCCACTAACAAATAACTTGTAGCGCTGTTGCTTTCATCAAGTTTCATACAAATACAGGCCACTATTTACGTTCATGTACACAACACAAGTAAATATTTTTATATAGGACTTTGACCATTAACGCCACCTTCAGGTTCTGTGGCTACAGTAAAAAATCAAGTTTTGGGGTGGATAAATTGTAAAAAAAAATTAAATATTTCAAATATTTAGTAAAACTGCCTACCGGTAACACTTATATCAGGTCAGTACTAAAAGGATTTTTCTTGGAATAACTTTTTTAAGCCTGATAAACGAATAATGTCTTCCATTATACATCATGATAAAAAATACATTTTAGGAGTTACTTTTATAACAAGCATTTCTTCGGGGATTTTCTTGTCTTATTGCATTATAATTTTACAAGTTCATTTGTAGAAAGTTATGTGAAGAAGTACATGGCTTAAATGTCCGTATTAATCCATTCTTTTATTTTATAAGTGTCACGTGAGGGAAAGCTAATCTTCGTTTATTTGAAACGTACATTATCTATCTATCCTTCTGTCTGTTCATATGTCTTTCTATAAGAGAGAACAAGAGGCACGTGAAGACCACGTATCACACTCGCGGTACATACGTCATAAAGTCATTTATAGGCGCCTACTCAAGGTCTTAAAGAAAATATCTTCCGTTCAACGAGTATAAGAAAAGGCTTAGGAAATAATGTTGGGTTACGTTTCTTGCACGAAAGTCGTTCATTGAAAAAACGCCTCGAGAGAGGTTTGGCCACGAAATAAGAGATATTAAGGGTACTAAGCCGTGCAGGATTAAGCGGAAGGAGATTGCAATCAAAAGAACTGAGATGAATTATTTCACCTAATACCTGTAAGGAGGAATTGGAAAGCTTCACATTATATAATAAAATCTTTCTAGAACATAGAATAAATAGGCCCTTAACAACAGAATGTCGTGAAAACAAAACGTGCAAAATAAGCTTCAGTGGAAGGTGTTCTTGGTCTATCCTCAATTTGGCGGCCTAACTAGCTTAGCCATAGTCTCTTATAACTTATATTCTACATATCACCTTTAACTAAAATTACGTCTAAACTCTTTAGTCGCTTAATTGACTTAGCCATAGTCTCTTATAACTTATATTCTACATATCAC